CGAGATACATAGCTTGAAATGAAGACGACTAAGATCGATCAAAAAAAGTATCCTTAATAACGACGGCCAGCTATTTTTTTTTCCTTAATAACGACAGCCAACCAATTTTTTTCCCAAATAGCGACGGCAAGCCAATTTTCTTCCCGAATAACGACGGCAGTTTTTTTTTTCCCTAATAGCGACGGCTAGCGAATTTTTATCCCGAATAGCGACGGCAAGCCATTTTTTTCCTAATAACTATACATCATTAAAACAAACTAGTTTAAATTATGCATAAATTCTACTTGTTGTTTAGAAAGCATTGAACTGTATAATTTGTTTGAATGGATTAATTGAAGCGGGTTAAAGAGCTTTCAATTCTCTCTTTTATGAAATACATTCGCTACTCAAATTCATCGTTACCTTATATGAATTGGCTTTTAAATAGTTTCAATAATTCCCTCGTTGTTATACAGCTAAAGTTTTCTTTACCATTTTATATCGAGTCCAATGTACAACACTTTGTTAGTTTTGTTGCATCTTTCATCTCTTTTAGTACACGAATTGCTTTATATTCAAGTAAAATAAAATGTCAAAGAAGGTCATAGTTGGATAATAAATGAAAAAAAGATTGTACAAAATACGAACTCCGTGTTTTAGCAGGTTTCAGTAAAATAGAGCAGTGGAGGTTTCTTATGTGATAAAAGGTTAGAGACATCGAAGCATCCTCTATATGTCCCACGAAGAGAATTGTCACAAAGTTTTAAAGAAAAGTAAATCGAGTATCTGATAAGAAAATTAGTTAAATGGAAGAATTAATTCAAAAACGATTAGTAGCTATTTCGTCTTCTAACCAATTCACTGATGGATGTATGGTTTAGACCCAATGAGGTACTGAAAATGATGCAATAGAGATACTCATTTTTTAATATATAGAGAAGTATATCAGTGAGATATGAAAGATTGCTTGTACGAATTTTCCAGAAAACAGTTTGCTGTTTATTCAACATACCGATTAACTTTCTAGTAATCTGTAAGCACATGTATGAGGTATCCACCTGTGTTTTAGATTTCATCTAAATAGTTCGCCTCGAACATAAGGGACAACTATATTGAAAACAACACGTATCAGAGAATTTTAAATTTTTTCAGTGAGAAACAGAATCGTCTAGTATTAAAAATTAAAACAATAGATTCTATAAAAACATGCAAGAAGGATAAAAACGGTATAATCTGATTAAAAGAAATAGATTAAATTAGAGAAAAGTTGAATATTTAACTGTTTAACTAATTGTACGCGTAACGAGAAATTCCTCTAATCTTTACGATTTTAGTGTTGTAAAAAAAAAATGGTCAACATTAGTATCGACATATATTCGAACAACAAAACGAAGATCTATTAGAAAAATAGATTTTCCTAAACTTTTAAATGACCTTTATACAAGTTCTTTCTCGTCGGGTGCTGTACATGGTGGATTTCGACGTGCTGGTATCTGGCCATGGGATGGTGATGCAATGAAAGATAAAGTTGTTCGTCGAGCTTCATCATCGAATATTCTTAATACGAATGAGTAAGTAACGGTAGAATTGTTTATTTTCTGTAATTAATGCATTTTAGTTCGTCGGCAAGTAGTATTTTATCAAGCTTGGTGGATGAAATTCGTACATCAAATGTTGATACAAATAATTCTAATAACTCATCAAGTGCAATTCAAATGGATATTGAGTATGTTTATATAGTTTAAATTATCAAATAATCCACTATACAAATCATGATTAACTAGACTAAGTTAGGAACTATTTTATTTGTACAATATTTGAGATTACTTACAAACATAATAGTTTTAGAATATTTACCGCATAAAGCGCTCTCATTCAGTATAGTTTATCCTGACACTAATATTCTACTTTTCATTGTCTTTTTGTCAGATGTACCCTTCCATATATGGCGTTCTACTTTATTTACTGGTAGCAGTCTCTCTTACTTGATACTTTTATACAAGATATAGTTGTTCTATTTTCGTATTAGATTTTTTTGTTTTATTCCTGAGTAACTCTTTTAAGTAAAACTTTTCATTGTTAAACTTGCTCTCCTATTGTAATAATATTCAAAACGCTTCAAATATCTTTTTTTTATATAGTTTACCATCATCTTCATCTCGTCGTCAAATATCTTTTGATGATGACAGTAGTAAGGAAAGGTATAAAACTAATCAACGCTCATATTTTTTTTCATTCATATCCCTTATTTTATAATTTAGTGATTCGGATATGAACATGGATATTGATCCATCAACAAAACAAAAACCAACGTACAACAATATATTTCATGATGGTAAGATTTTATCAATATCTATTCGAGTATTCTTTTTGTCAACATATTCTACATTCAGATGAGCATTTGGATGCTTCTTCTAATCAAAATAATGGTGATTTAACTAGTACAGCATCATCAACATCAATTTGATTAAGTCCTACATCAGCAGTTCGGACAATAATTTCCTCTTATGTACGAAATAATAATGAATCTGTTCAACCAAAACCAGTTAAATTGAATCGTCGTGTACGTATTGAACGAAAATTTGGTGAAGATATAACCAATGGAAATCTTTTACAGGAATTAAAAGAAAAGGCAGAGGCGAAAAAAGCCAAAATGAAAAAAAAAGTTTCACGAGAATCTCAATGATCATCCAGAAAAACGGATTAATGGAATTTTATTTATATCCTACCTCATTCTTTATACATATGTCATTCTACATTAATTCTTATTTTGTTTTAAACTAGTTTGTTTTAATGATGTATAGTTATTAGGAAAAAAATGGCTTGCTGTCGCTATTCGGGATAAAAATTGGCTGGCCGTCGCTATTAGGGAAAAAAAATAACTGCCGTCGTTATTCGGGAAGAAAATTGACTTGCCGTCGCTATTTGGGAAAAAAATTGGCTGGCTGTCGTTATTAAGGAAAAAAAATAGCTGGCCGTCGTTATTAAGGATACTTTTTTTTGATCGATCTTAGTCGTCTTCATTTCAAGCTATGTATCTCGTGATGAGAACATTGAATCTTCATGAACCTTTAGATATAGGTAGAACTCGACTTGCTTTACAAAATTGCCAGCGAGACCCTCCCTTGTTTTCCAAGTAGAAAATGTGAAAAAACGTTTTTTCCAAAAAAGATACATTTTTGCTTGAATTTTCTTAGAACGTCGTTATTTGGGAAAAAATTTGGCTTGCCGTCGGAATTAAGGAAACTGCACTAAATAACGACGGATGGAGTCCCCGATCGTAGACCGCTGATATCTCCATCGCAGTACGATGTAGAGAGGCCGTGATCATACCATTTGAAAGAGGAGACTCCAAGGATTACCCAAATATAAAAATATTTTCAGTCGAATGTAAATGACTGAGAACGGAATCAAACAAGAGATGTGAAAATTTTCCCGTCGTTATTAGGGAAACTGTCTCTACCCGGAAGTCTTTCTTATAAAGCGAAACCCTAATCTCTACATACCTCACTCACTCTAACTTCTCTCATCTCAAGAAAAAAAAACAAAAATAAAACTCACTCGTCGATGTTGATAACTAAAAGAAAAAGAAAAAAAATATTGAACGACGAAGAGAAAAAAGATAGCTTCCCCCTATTATCTATTTCTTCATTAGTCAATGGCTAAAATATAAAAACATATATAAAAAAGATCATAGGAGGACTTACCACTTGTGACGGAGCCAAGCCGGGGCTGGGGGGCTCAGCCCCCTCCAGAAATTTTTGAGCCCCCCCCCCCCCCCACAGAAATATTTGAACCATTTGAGAAACGAAAATAGTTGGAACCGATTATGTTATGAAGCGAGACCCGAAATCAAGTGCAATATGAATAAAAATCTTTATTCTTAACTGTCTGATGTTGCAGGCAAAATTGAAATCCAGGAAAACTGAAAATATTCCTAAAAAATTCAGGAAAAATTAATATTTTCACATGAATATTTTAAGTTTTCCTAGGAAAATTTTAAATTTTCCTGGATTTTAATTTCTACTGCAAGACGTATGTCATTAAACCGATAGTGCGACATGACAAATTAAAATTAATTGCAGGCTTGTACAAGAAAGTAACACCTTATAAAGATGCATTTCCAACAGCTGTATCTACGGTTACTGGAGCATAAACAGCTCCTATGTTTTAAACAACATGTGAACGCAGCTTCAGCAAGATGAAACTCATCAAAAATTACGAAAGAAATACAATGAGTGCTGCAAGATTAAGTGATGTGTACGTATTATGTATTGAAAAAGATTTTGAGATAGACTTCGAAAAAGTAACAGATATCTTTTGATGGAATCATGCCAATAGTCGGATACTCTTACGATACACTTAATTAATAAAAAGTTGAATATTTTCTCTTTTCTATAATGCATTGTCCTAAAAACTATATTAGGGTGTGGGTGTGGGTGTGGCTGTAGCTATGGGTGGGGTGTGGGTGTGGGTGTGGGTGTGGGTGGGTGTGGGTGGGTGTGGGTGTGGGTGTGGATATGGGTGTGGGTGTGGGTGTCGGTGGGTGTTGGTGTGGGTGTGTATGGGCGTCGGTGGATATGGGGTGTGGGGGTGGGTGTGGATGTGGATGTGAGTGTAGGTGTAGCTGAGGTGTGGAGGGTGTGTGCTAGTGAAGGGAAGAGCTGCATCCAGCCCGACCCCGACTCATATTCCCACACTCGCAACCATGCCCCCACCCTCACCTACACCCCCACCCACAGCCACAACCACACCCGCAGCCACACCCACACTCACACCCACACCCACACTCACACCCACACCCCAAATCTTATTTTACTATGTTCAATTCCCAATGGATGCTAAGAACTCAATCATTGTCAAATCGGAACTGTCTTGGTCTAATTTCACAGTCAAATTATGGACGGTGAATACTTAACAACCATATTCAGTATTATGTCCATGTTTTTTGAAAAATCATTTTGATCTGTGTGAAGTTATTTTCGGTTGCAGCTAAATGTTTTCATTTACAATATTGACAATCAATAAAAATAAATGAGATGTAGGTGAGTACTATCTATCTCAATCTGTGTGAAGCTACCATAACCCGACCATTGAGCACGACCAGTAGAATATTATGACACGTCAAAATGAAAACCAATCAGAAAGCAAGAAATAAAAAAATACCACTATGAAGGAGAGACCCATGGACATGGTACTCCATAGTAACCGTAGCATATATATCACTGCTATACATACGGCTATTGTAATATCGAAAACATGAGAAAAAGTTTATTATTTTTTCTACGAAATTATTTTGTGCATAATTTCTAGAGTTCTTCCAATTCTCAAAAAAGCACGCATCTTTCAATTTTCTACTAAAAATATTGAATATTTTGATGGAAAAAAAATGAAAATGAGCAACTCCACGGAAACAATAGACTAGTTTTAAAGATAGGACTTTTTACTTAATAAAAAAGATATTACTATTGATGATTAAAAATAATTGATTGTATCAGTTTAAAAAAAACTAATTTATTATCAATTTGGACTTTATTTAATTCATATTATTGTAGGAATTT